CTCTGTTTGAAATGCATTACCAAACTTTTGGGACTAATTAGCACTGTTTTCTTATTGTGTCATTTTGATGGTCTTATTCACAAACACTAAACTATTTTACATCATCATGAGAACCATTGCGAACCGATATCACAAACCACAAGGTAAATTCAAGGTGTGTACACGTAGAGGTTTGGTTTTGTCAATTCACTGCTGGATGAAGGTGTCCAATGGCCTTGGATATTTGACCATACTTCACCAAGGTGGCGAGTGCGTGCTGTGGTGAACTATTGCTCTGCACTGTCGTCTACTACCCACAATGCCTATTACACCCATCTTTTGCTCTTGGTGGTCAGCCATTCAAACACTAATTTGCTCAACCTTGGCTAATTTCCAAGATCCGATGAGATTGGGACACATTCTGGGAGATTACATTCAAGGTAGGACCCCCTAGGTCAGGGGTCGGCAACCAAAATAACAAGAGGAGCTATTTTTTCCGAATTCGGTATTAAACAAAAACCTCTTTCAAGAGCCACAATGCCGCTGATCCCTGCCCTCGGTGAATACAATGTGTACTCACATGCTCCACCACCCTGTTCTTAAGGACTTGCCACCGCTTCTCGCCCTCCTGAGAGTAGGAGAACACATCAGTCGCCGGGTTGTCGGCCGTGCCCTTACGCAGGTCTTTGCCGTACTTCTCCACCAGGGTGCCCCAGTGCATCAGCTCCGATGTGGTAAACAGCTTCAGTATCTCCCTGTGAGAAGAGTGCAGATGCCAAACTCTGCCAACAGGGAGGCGCTTTTAAAACCGCGAGACGAAAATTACGTTAAATTGTTGCAGATATAACACAAGCACGTGTGTGGGATATGAGAATTTTGAATTGTCAGACCAGGGAGTGGTAAAATGCCCATCTAAAGGCAAATTACTTGCATGAAAATAAATCGACGTTGTATTTTCTATCCACGTACTAAAGAATAGTAACACCTGTGATTTTATGTGCTCATATACCATACTATTGCATATCAAGACACATTTCTGTGGGTTTGTTTGGATACTAATCGAAGGCACAACACAATACTTAAGTCCAATAATACCTACAATCCTTTTGTCAATCCACATCTGGATGATAGTCGTCCTACTCTCTCTGGGTCATGGGAGTTGTTTGATCATACTTTACCAGCGCCTTGGACTAAGGCGCTATATACATCTATTGAAGACAATGTTATATAGATACTTTTTTGTTATAGTTCACATGGGTACCTGTATTTGGGAAGTTCCTCCAGCTTCTTGTCCTGGTTAACGCGGTGCACCAGGTCCGACTGCTCATTGTCATAGGCAGCCAGCACCACGTACAGAATGGCGCTCTTCATAACCTGCCATGAAGTTATGAAATCGTGGACTCATGATGGTATGAAAAATAATATAAATTCCCTCCTGATAATTACAGCTCATTACTGTCTTATATTCAACTTGTAGTATTTGTGCTTAAAACAGATGTGGCATTAAGCTTCATACTGATTCCTGGACATTCTAGTATGGTTAAATATCAAGTGGAGTCTCATTGAATTTCGTGATTTTTATGCAATCTTGTTTTTGACTGTATACCAAAGCAATGTTATTTCGTACAATATACAGTCGGTATTTTATTGTTTTAAATGGTTGAGGTAATACATAGCTATTTTATGAGCCAATTGCTTTCCTTTCGTAGATCTGTTCTTAATATTAACTTTCAAAATTCTAAATTAAGAGTGCTTTCGGAAATATTCCTAAACGTAAATTAAGGGCTCAAACAATTAAGTGTTAAACATGTATATATGTTTAAACCAGACACGGCTCAAACGTCCGGACTATTACGGCTCCGGTTATTACAAAACAAACTCATAAATGAGTGAGAAGTCACCTGCTGCCACTTTGCCCTCTCTGCTTGAATGCAGGGTGTGTCGTAAATGGCACGGTAGTGCTTGCAAATGGACAGGTAGGAGCCTTCATGCTGATCGAGTTGAATCATCAGGTCATAATATTTCAGCTTCAACTCCTGAAAACAAAAAAAGCATCATTATTAGGTCACAAGTCCAGTTGGAGCTTCATATGACAAGCAATAGCTCCAAATCATAAAAGTCAAAATGTTACCTCTGTGTTTTCCTCCTGGAAAAATTTTGTGTTGATCTTCTTGCTAATGATCTGAGTGCGGATGTAGTCCTTCACTGCAAGGCAAAGGCGCATCTGCTCCAAAATGAACTCGACCTTTTCTTTCTTTTCCATGGATCCAAATGTCTCCACCTACTCAACATAACACACAAATGTCAGCGTCCGCAAATCTCATCATGTAATCTCAAAATAGTTGCATTTGAATGCAATAAAGAGGCTTGCACATTTTAAATAAGGGTTCACAGACCTGCAGTTCTTGTAGGATATTTGAAGCCTCTACTAGTTCCCCCTTCTCTTCCTTGAATTTAGCCAAAATTCTTGTCAATCTTGCACGTTCAATCTCCACATAGATCTGTCGACAAAAAAATGGGCATACCAAATAAAGCACTTTGACCAGGACAATGATAAAATAAAATGTTTGAATATCATGGGATAACAACACTACCACTTGTCTGATGGTCTGTCAAGCTTACATGCAACTTAAATATTTCAATGGTTTACACACCTTGCCAGCAGTGACGGTCCTTAGTGTGTCGATAAGTTTGAGTTTGGTTTGCAAATCCGGTGTTTTTTCCACATATTCGCAGCACTGTTGCACCATTTTTGCCACCGCCTGTTAAACAACGTGAACAGCACGTGTCCCATTAGTGTGAAGCTGCAACACTACAAGCAATCTGACAACTTTAGCAAATAACACCCAGTGCCTGGCAACATTTCAGCAATTAAGATTGTAACCTGTTTGAGTTGGCTTCTCCGTTTTGTCATGATGATGATGTTTTCATTGAGGGCATCCCAATCTTTGGCTTCAAAACAGATCTGTACGATCCCTACCAGAATCCGTGAGGTGGACACCATATCACTGGCCTGCACACAAACCAACAATCAAGAGGTGTACACACATTTTAACTTCAATTAAATCAAGTTATGATCAGCCTTCATTTCACATTAGGAAAGATTGATAAGTCAAGGCGACTCAGCAGGTAAACTTAAGATTACAATGACAACTTTATGCATTTATGTGAGTTCAACACCATCCAAATATCACATGAGCATGGAAACAATCAAAATTGACTATAAATCACTTTAAGGTGCATTTAATACAATATGTATCTGAAACATCTAAATGCGACATCGTAATACTTTATACAACATGCGTGTACATCTTGAGAGCTTGTCGATGGGGCTAACTTTTAAAACAATATTTTCGAAAGGGAGGGGCTGAAAAGCTGTATGGTAGATAAAACATGGAGATGGGAATATGGAAAGGTGTCAATTAAAATACTTTATTGAGAAGAGCCAGTCACAGGAAGTGACAAGTAATTATTGTGGTTAGGAACATAAAACACATCAAATGATTTTTTGCACATAAACGACAATCTAAGACCCCTTAAGATGTTAAGACTTGACAAGTTGTAGGGAATTTCACACGCGTCATAACAATCATTCATGATACTCAACACTTACGGTTCGCGTCTGCTTCTCTAGAGACAGAAGGTTGTCAATGGCTTCTTGAAGCTTCCCTTCCTGCGAGCACAACACGTCGTTAACACGTTACACTCGATGTCGATCGCGTCCGAACCAAACCCGCCAATCTAACCCGTTACTTTATCAGCGCGAATCACACCGCACGTGCGCCTCGTCACTCAAGGCGCAGGAGTGTTGACCCAGCATGAGGTTATGGGCCGTATGGTAAAATACAGGTGTTCTATTCGCCCTCCGAGTACGTTCTTGTCTTTGTCGTGTCACTCTTCATCTCTATTCGTCTATACCCGTGCATTTGTGTCTCTCGGTGTATCTGTGCCAGAGGTGGGACAAAGTCATTGTTATGCAAGTCCAAGTCGAGTCTGAAGTCATCAAATTCATGACTCGAGTCTGACTCGAGTCCACACCTCTGATCTGTGCATGTCTTTTTCAGTGTCTTTTTTAGTGTCTGTATCTATCGCCGTCAGTCTGTGTCTTCGAGATGCCTCTCAAGTGTCTGTCTCTCTTCATTTCCTAACACGTGCAGCGTTTTTGTCAATTCACTGCTGGATGAGAGCCTCCCACGCCGTGAACTGTGGTTTTATCTGACCATACTTCGTCATCCTAGGCCTACGGTGCATGACATTCCCGATGGGCTCGAGTTTGTGCAAGACTGCCCATGTTGACACGGTTTTATGCGAAACGGAGTCACATTTCTCAAGAGCTCGTCAATTGGCATCTCCCGGCTTCTGCACCCGCCTCGGCCCACCAATCACTGCCGTCCCAAGCAGCACCCTTGTCGGCAGGGTGGCCGGGTAAGTCCACAGGCCACGCAGAGGCCTACCTCACCCATTCAAGAACACGCGAGCAACCCAACACGGCGACTGCGCTGGCGAACAGAAGAGGGACGCACCTCAGCCATCTTTCGAGACTCGGGCAGCCTCTGGTCCACCACGGGACTGTAGTCCACCTCCATCTTCACGATCTTGCCATTCCCGCCGTCCGCCATCGTGAGCGACATTACTCAGCAACTCACAGCGAACTCTGCGATTGTATTTCCAAGCGCGCTCACGCGACCCCGGGTCTGTCCCATTGGTCAGACCCACTCACGTGGTTACGCCCCTCCCACCTATCCCCCACTTTAGACCAATCACGTACACGTCCGCTGGCGTCCAAATGCGCATGCGCTTTGGGAAATCTAAGAGCGTAGTTTGAGGGGCGGAGGCGTTGTGGGGGGGGTAGGGCGGTGCTCTGGGGGGATGGGGTCCTTCGAGCCGATTATTATAATTCAGCCGGGCAAACAGGCGCGCCGCGGACACCTGTGAGAGAGTGAGTGGGGGACGAGTCACGTGGCGCTGAATGTTTAAATGCCCGAGCACGTGTTGGCTCCGCCGTAGTGCCTTGTGGCAAGCATCGAGGTTGACACGCACAGCTCGATTCGTGTTTATGAGTTGCACAGTTGTAGGGGATATTAGTGGGGTATTGGAGTTGCACCGTTGGGGGATAAGCACACAGCGTTTAGTGGTACAGCTATTTTGTGTTGTTAGTGCTGTACACAAGGTACATTATAGTTATAGGGCGGGCAGATATAGGGGGTACAGCTGCAGTGTAGTCAACGAATTGCACTGTTTTATGGTAAATAACACGACAGAGCATATGATTAAGAGCGGTTACAGTTACACCAATACATTGTGAATTAAAAAATATAGTTTTTAACTTTTTGTTTGTAAAGGAGCAAGATGTTTGTAAACGAGTAAGATTTAAGCACACTTTGGAGGAGTTGTGAGCGAAGCTTTGCTTCTCGTTGATATTCATTTAATGACGGATTCTGCAAGGCGTGTTTGAGAAACAAGGCGACCACAATCCTCATTTGGACATGCGAGTGATTTGACAGGTACGTACTGCAATTATACGAGCAATCATTAGTTGCAAGTGTTGTTGTTTGGTATTGACATAAATGCGCGTGTTTAACCGCCAGCGTATATTAGTAAACAATTGTAATCGCAGTGTTGTGAAACGTGGGCTTCGAATTGCATCTGTGAAATGTATTGCGCTCCATATAGATGATCACGATGCCTGTGCTCGCATTGTTTGGTGTTTTCCCGTTTACACCAGAGGGGGAATAAACGGTGAGACTCGCATAACGAAATCCGTGTTTGCTATTGTAGAGACACTCTTTAGATAATTTATATCTGAGCGAAAAGCGGCTGTGATTGCCGCTCTGTTGAGCGAATAGCGAGCACATGGCTGCATACATTGTACTTTGGACCCTGCGTGGCCGATGGAACTCAAATGACAACATTACATCCAGCACCGAGGCACGCTTATACATTGGTCATGTCAGAAATATAATTACCGTGACATGCGTTTAATGCATAATGCACAGCCCTTGTCATTCTATCGCCGGATGAAGTTCTTTCCACGCCGTATCGGCCATGGTAGTTTTGACCATACTTCATCACGCTTGCCATTGCGGGTTGGTGGGTGTATGTTGGACTTATTTCTCACCGTATGTAGCCAACCGCGCAAATCGGAGGTACCGCGTTCGAGATTCGAACTCGAGTGGCCTGGTGTTCAGTGCAGTACGCTAACCACTTGTGCCACCAATACACCCCGGCGTGTTGCAAGTCTACGGCACTCACACGCGGTGTATGCGTCCTCGTGTAAACTGGCCAGTTGTGGAAATTATTCCAGAAACCCCGCGTTAAAGATGGCTTGCTTGCCTCAGTTGCGTACAATGGAGACCGACAGTGTTCCGTCACTGTAATTATTTGCATCACATGAACGTATTTACCAAAATACCAGAGTGATTAAATACATTCAAATAAACAGTGTATTTCACGGTCACGGCTCGCATCAGTGTTGAGAAATTTATCCAAACCAGTTTTGGGCCCCACCCCACTATAACTCGCACTGGGCTATGTGGTGAAGAATTGTGCTTAAAAGTATATTTACACTTACAACACTTTGGTCTCCTTCCATTTAAACAAAATTATTACTTTCCTACCTATGTTAAGCCAATGCTGGATGAAAGCCCTTCCAATGCTGTGTCGGCCCACATGGGTTGTTTGCCAATACTGGACGTTGGCGCACTCGCCACTGACGTTACGCGTGGTCGGGAATCGAATTCGGGTCTTCGGTTCTCAGGCTGTGGTGAGCTATCCACGATGCCACCGCTCGCCCCATGATGGATGGAATTGTATAGATGGATAAGCATATATTTTTTTATGACGCCTATCTCAAACCATCATCACGATCCATAGGCAGATAGCCCATAGGTGCCCATTGCACATATGTCAAATATTATTGTTAATAAAATACTCAATCTTAAAGATTTGCTATAAAAAATATTTAAATATGTTGCACTTCCGATTGGCGACCACCATGCATAACATGTGTTATAGGCTTCAGGGCGACGTTGTGAGCAGCTGAGCCCATTGCAACTGTCCAATCAACTGAAATTATATGCTCCGCTTTCAATGCTCCCCACATTCACCATTCCCTCCCCCACTGACCAGCATGGTGAAGTGTAGTCAATTAATGACCACGACCCATAGGGCCTGCGGAGGACCTAATCCAGCAGTGGATTGACACAGGGTTTTACATGTCCTTACAATCACAAGACCGCATTGTGTTGAGTAGCACCACACATCGCAGCGTGGATAGGCAGTGCGGTGTTCCGTGGCCGCTGCACGTCGTGAGTGCTGTGTTGAGAAGTCCCTGTGTCCGCAGAGCTTCTGTGTGGGACCCGAGCAAGGACTGGGCCCAGTACAAAGGGCGCGAGCCGCGATGCTCGTGAAGGAATACCGCATCTGCATGCCTCTCACGGTCGAGGAGGTGAGGACTGCAGCTCACTGAAGCAACTCGTCCATTCATCCACCTTCCAAACCAATAACTTATTCATTCACCCATAACTAATTTACTCACTTTATTCATTGACTGAGTCACCACAGACCGTTTAATTTACTCAATCACTTATTAACTCGCTTTAACATTCACGCACTTGATAGTTAATTGTTCCTCTAATTCAATCGCTGGCTCGCTTGCTCACTCGCACTCATTTCCGTGTCTCATCCACCCACTCCCCCTTTCAATAACTCAATTAATATGTCAATCACCATCACATTCACGAATTAATTTCAATACCCACTCATCATCCTCATTCATCTCACCCACAGCCACATTCATCTCACTCATTCATCTCACCCATGTACACATTCATTCGCTCATTATCCTCTCATTTGCTATATTGTCTGTCACACTGTCGTATTCATTGACTCATTTTCACAATCACCCTCTCATTCATTCTGCTCTCACCCCCTCATTCACACACTGCAGCAGCTCGCTTGCACTCTATTGAAGATAATGTCTCACCCATTGAAGAATATACCTCAATGGATGTTTCAATGGGTTTTACCCAATCCCCATAAATATGTAAATGTATTATTTTTAGATTCCGTTTCTCACTGCAAGTGAGTGGATAAATACATATAATGTTTAAACACTACTAGGAAATAAAGGTAATGTATTTTAACTGATTGGAAGCTCATTGATACATACATTGATTTTAAAATGAGGAAGAATGTTGCACATTTCAATTTAGATTACAATATACTATAGCAATATTTACTTATGACAAATGCACCTTAAATGTGCCAGACCTCAAGATCTATCAGAAGCTAAGCAGACTTGATGCTGGCTAGTGCTTTGATGGGTGGCCAGAATGCACAAAACCGATGCAATAGGTAGCTCAGATCTGCATTGTCAGCAGAGGGCAATGAAGCGGAATCCATTGTTTTGTTGCATTTCTATGCTCCAACATATTCTCCAACCCGAACTGACCAACGTGGTGAAGTATGGTCAAATAGCTCCACTGCTGGGTGAAGATCTTCCCACGCTACATCGGTCATGGGGGTTGTTTGACCATACTTCACCATTCCGGTAAGTGCGGATTGGTGAAGTGAGGCCCAGGAGCGCTTCAGACATCACTCGCCACTGACGTTGGCCATCGCGGGCAATCAAACTCGGGGCACTGGGTTCGCAGTGCAGTGTGCTAACCACTGCGCCAACGATCTCCTGTTCTGACCAGACTGCCTTTAGATGCTTAATATGTTGATTTCTAGTGCAATTGTGGATCGTATATTGTTTATTAGGGTAATTCCATCACCAGTTCCATTGTGACGAACACCACCAAATGGTGTAGCCTACCAAGGAGGCATTTTGTCAGCAGTGTAAGCAAATACAGAACGTGCTTTATACAATTTTGCATGTTTGTATGTCTGCTTGTAGTATGGCGTTGCTATACCTGTGACCATTACTATTATTATTAGAGATGCGATGTCTACAAAAAGAGACAAGTTTTGTAAAATGGCACACCCTGTTTTTAATATTGAGCAAATGTGTGTACAGGAATTATGTGCCATATTCTATGTATAAATATTAGCATTTCGTGATTTATGCCAATGTAGTGAAATTAGTGTGGCATTATCCATTCATCAGATATAATAAATAAATGGTGATATTTATCATAACTTATTATTCAATACAAACTAAATGTATTTAAATATATGCAATGCGATGTATATAATAAACGATTTAATAGTAAAAGGGTGCTAATGCTTAGCCGAAAACACTAAATTATAGTTGTAGAGTCCAGGCTTTTTTGTACACACAACATAATTATTTGTCAAATGCCGACGCATGGACCAAGGTGAGGAAAGTTGGCATATCGTGTGGTTGCATCACAGGGAGATGTTCTGCATTTCGTTCAGTCCCCGAGGCTCATCTTGTTTAACGTATAATGCCTACACACACACGTGCATACGTATAATGCCTACACACACACGTGCATACGCGGCCCTGTGGGCTGAGACTGCTTAATGCGTAGCACACGCGCGCGTGCGCATTCACACTAAAACACACCGAAACTGTGTGATACATAGTGCGTATACGGGACACGTGTAAAACGCACAGTGAAGGTGTTGAACGCATAGCGCATGCGCGCACATGCACTCCTACTCACTCAGCCTATAAACTAAGGGTTGTTCGGGGGCGACTGCGGCGCGCTCTAATAACCATTTACGCCCTTCGGCCAGGAAAGTCGCCAAAAAAATTGCACACGAACGACCCATTTACACAAACAGTCGATGCTCCGTTTTGAAGTTTTAAAATGAAACGTATTTGAATTGTGTTATTTTTTTAATGATAATTTTATTTATTTATTTAAAAGCTTATATAATTTTACATCTGGAAGACTTAATTGAAAACGACATTTCGTGTGAATTTTCTCTCGTCGTTAAGTAGATGGCCTTGCTGGGGGTTCGGTTCGATGCGGACTTTCACCTGTTTGGGATTGTGGGATCGAGATAAGGTGACAGGTAGCTGCTGGCCGTGCGAGAAAACCGCCGTCTGCAGATCGATTCCAACGTAATCGAAAACGTCTGTCCCTGCGCCTACGTCGTTTATGCAGGGGGTGCGTAGGTTTGCAGCGCCCCCTGCAGGAAAACGACGGAAAGTGCAGCGTTCATCACAGATATATAAAGTTGTGCGCTATATATGAGAATAGTAATATACAGCCCTTGATCAATATACTCCTGGGCGAAGGTATTGATTGTATTTGTCATGGGTTTTTTTTATTTGGTTAATCAGAGTTGGTGATGTGGTGTTATTCATGGTCGGAAATCAAACTCAGGTCCGCTGGGTTTATAGCACAATGCGTTAACCACTGTACCATTGTTCCACCCAAGCCTGTACAACATGTAGCGTATAAGAAGAAGACAAATATCACCTATGAAGGCCAGCACGGAATATGATGTGGTGGGTGGCCAGCACCATGCCTGGCCACCTTTGTCTCTCAAGTGGCGATGTTTGCACATCGCACCAGGTGCTCATTTGAGGCAGCCTACATTGCGGAGGCCCCGGACTAGTTTAGATAATCCGATGAAGTGGTGATGAAATTGGACAAGGGGCGCCATGTAATGACAAGCAGCATGGTCCCTACCAACCGTGCTGTGACACAGAGTACATAATCAGGCATATAATTAGTGAGCACACAAGCGTGCCTCAATACTTGGCTTCATGCTGCAAATATCGTTGCATCCTAAACGAAAAAATGTACAGGAACACCTTTTTCACTTTCGTCTGGTTAGGGACCAGAGCATGGACGAATGTCAAAAATGGACGAATGTCAAAACAGAGCCTATATTTAGCTGGAAAAAAAAATTATTTGGCCGGCGAAAAACGTACATGCAGATAACTACATTCACTATATAACACATGCGTGCGAAACCTAAATAAACAAAAAATAAAATAAAAAATAAACATAAGAATAAATAACAAAAACTAAACAAATAAACAAAAATAAATAAACACAATGATACCTTGAATTTCGATTTCATTTAAAGTTTCCGTGACTGCAGGGATTCATCTTCGGTAAAGTCACGTAGAAGGGAAATAATAAAAGAAATAAAAAAATGCCATATTATTTTATTGTTTTATTTTTATTATTTTATTATTTCCCTTCTACGTGACTTTACCGAAAGAACCAAGAAGATGATATCTTGAATATTTTATTCTTGCGTAAGCACAGTATGAATAGTGTACACGTCTTTTATTATCACGCAAATAACTATGAATACTGTAGTATTATACTGTTATAACAAAAATAACTATGAATTGTTTACAGTATAATTACAGAAATAATTACAGTATTAATAATATATGAATAAATACAAATATAAGAGATGCTCACTGAACGACTTCTATTAAAAGACTTGACAAAAAAGATGGCGCGTGGCGCGAACGTCTTGGAAGATTTGGGATGAAATCGGAGGAAAGAGGGAAGTGCGTGGACGAAATTTGAAATGTGGTTATAATTGAAAACGGCCGAAAGAGTGAAGCGACGAAAGTCAAGGTATCGCTGTAGAATATTAGAGGTAAGACGATTTGGTAAATGTGTTTCCTATTGCCAGGGAAGTGGAACTAGTTAATATACTCTTACTGTACCGTGTTGCTTTATCTCACAGCCAACGAATGCACTGTGCATCTAATGCAACATCGCTGGGGGTGGACTGTGGAACAGCAGCACAGAGCCTTTGTCTGTGTGGAACGTGCAAAATAACAGTAACACTGCGGTCGCAGCATCTCCATCACGGGAGAGCTGCTATCGTGTACCACCTTTTCAAGTATTATTGTCGGCGTCAAACTCCCAGTGATGTGCAGCGTGTTTGGGAACATCTCCCGCGGATCTGGCACGCCCTGGGCACTGCGTTGTGCAGGCGGGCGGCACCGTGTTGCACGGTGCGACTGGGAAGGAAAGTGTTATTTGTCATATTCTTAGGTTTTTTTCGGTAAAGTCATGTAGGTAAAAATAAAATTAAAATAAAAATCACGACGTTTCGGAGGCAACACAAGCTTCCGTCTTCAGGTGGTACCGTCACAGCCACGACAGCTGTATCAAGTAAAATGTGCATTTCTGCAATAATATATGTGCCTTTTACATTTTGTCTTTGATCAAGTCCCACGTAAGCCTGGGTCACCTGATGGTCAGCGTGCTCTTCAGAGGGGTCACTTTGTGCGGAGTCGGCGGTGCGATGCACGCAAGCATCCGCCGGCAATGATTTCTGCGGGAGTTGTAAAAGTGGTGGTGCCGTTGATGTTAATCACTTGGTTCCCTGTGATTTTATAATTCAGAATAATAGTCCACTGCATGTCAGTGTCAGAGCTCAAACTGCATGTACGAATCGTACCTGGAACTAAATTATAAAACACGGTAATATTGTAACGGCACAATCATTATGTTCTTTCTCTGTAGATTTTAGGTAGTAAAATAATAAATA